CAACCGTGCTTCACGCGAGTTTCCATAATGAGCGTACCCCCGAGTTAGATGTCTGTTTGCCCTATACATGTAAGGTCCCAAATCTCACGTTGGTGGACATACTAGTACTCGGACCTCTAACTCGTGGGGAAAAACGTGCTTTCGTTAGGACACTGGCAGGTGTCTGATGTTTATCTAACATTAGCCCATCAATATTTACCATTGAGGAAATGCATGTATATGTAGGTGTGTTTGTGTGTGTGTGTGTGTGTGTGTGTGTGTGTGTGTATTCGTGCGTGCGTGCGTGCGTCTTGTTCTTAAATTTTGTGAAAAATGCGAGCTTCTTTTACCAAAGGTCGCGACCCTACTGTGGGTCGGGCTGGTTCCGTAGAATGCGCAAAAAAGGTAGGGTACCAATTACGGGAACCCCCTGCGTTTGTTGCGACATTTGTTGTAATTGTCAATACTCATATTGTGTAGTTTCCTTTGAAAACAACCTGGTGATCTTTGTCGACGAGAGCAACACCCCTAACCAGAATGACCCTGCCGATGTTTTCCTCTGTGGAATGCGCAAAATGGAGGGTAATCATTAAGGGATCACCCTGTATTAACTGGAAAGCAACCTTTTTTAAACTTTTTTAAAAGGCGACAAAAACGTTCTGTCATATTGACTTGATACCTGCTGTAACGTACTTTTGTTCCCCAACTGCGATGTTGGTGGACATACTCGGACCTCTAACTCGGGGGAAAAAGTGCTTTCGTTAGGCGGGTGTCTGATGTTTATCTAACGTTAGCCCATCAATATTTACCATTGAGGAAACGCATGTATATGTAGGTGTGTGTGTGTGTGTGTGTGTGTGTGTGTGTGTGTGTGTGTGTGTGTGTGTGTGTGTGTGTGTGTGTGTTCGTGCGTGCGTGCGTCTTGTTCTTAAATTTTGTGAAAAACGTTAACGCCAGATTTTTTTACCAAAACTACAGAAACCCACGTCTAAAAACTACTCGATTGCACAATCCCCCTGTCCAACGAAGCGAAAAAAGACACGGCACCGCTCCAACCTTGCCTTTGACGGTCTGCCAAAAGCTAGCATGATTTTGCTGCGGGCCCTTTGGTAAACCGGTTGAACGTCTCATGATGACGCGTTAAGTCACTCCCATTGACGTTGTCAGATATCATTTTTGGGGACGCTATCTCTTACGAGTAGTCCGTGTCCGCTTGCTCCCAGAAGAGCGGTTCCTACAAGTCCTGTCCTTACTGTCTACAAACCATCTGCTGTAGATGTGACAACAGTGAGTGTGATCATTGTATTTTTTTATACCAGTACTCCGCTTATGGCATTATAGTTACAGTACACATCAAGTGTGTACATTTGAGCTGTCTCTAATTGATTAATCCTGCACGGAAAAATGGGATTTAACAATCATAAATCAGAGGTAAGTCTGGTAAGGCCCCCATTCCACTAGGACGGCGTTCTCTTTGCGACCTGAAATTGGCCGGAGCGCGCTGAGAGCTTCATGCGCGCCGTCACTTCGGCGACTGTTGTGAACCGGCTCATACCATCGCCGTGAGAGCGGCGAAAAGAGCGATCCAACATCGAGCGCCGTGAGAGCTGCGCCCCTGCGCGTTCGCGTATCACCTTGGAGATATCTCGGCGCTCTCTCCCCGCTCTCTCTGACCCATTCCAGGTCGCAGAGAGATCGCGGTGAGAGCACCGTCAAGTGGAATGGGGGTATAATGGTAGATTTTCACATTTTTTCTATTCCAACATGTAATCACCAGACGTGGTGACGACACACTCAACTTTTTTTCAACTTATATTAATGCCGCCACCAACACAGGGGACAGGACAATACTCATTTACACCTGAGCTAAGTGAGGAAAGAAAGTGCCTTTCCCAAGGGCACAAGATCGGTGGCATATCAGGACTCGAACCAGGGACTCTTAGTTCCGAGTCGCGCACTCTGCCGCTACGCCACACGACCCCACAACAATTTTCACATTTGATGCTATAATTTAGGCAAAGATAATCAGACTTACTTGTTTCCTATCGCTATTATCTAGGCAGACATTTTCGGACTTACCTGGAATTCATTGCCTTTGGCTCATTTTCTGAAAATGCGAGCTTCTTTTACCAAAACTACAGAAACCCACGTCTAAAACTACTCGATTGTACAATCCCCCTGTCCAACGAAGTGAAAAAGGCGCGGCACCGCTCCCACCTCGCCCTTGACGGTCTGCCAAAAGTTAGCATAATTTTGCTGCTACCGATTTCATCTTTAGCAGAGTATGATGCCCTCGTGTCTAACTCCATGCGTTACCTACATATAGAAAGCTATTGTGGTTAATGTACATGTCGCTAGACTTCATCGTAATGTGTACTAGTTGGGACGAATGGGACTGTTACACACTGAATCATTGCCAAGTTTAGACAGTTGACCTGGCATGATAGGATTGCGTTATTAATCAATGATCTGGGTGTGCTGGCTGGTCATTGTCTGGCCACTCCAATGACGTTGCCATGCCTACAGAAAGGAAAAGTAAAATCAAACTTTCTTCTGTTGTAATAGCTGATGTAATATCTACCAAGTTGGTACGTGCAGCCTAGTGTCACCCTATGACATGAAAAACATGTCTCATCAAGTTCTTGGTGGTTTGTCAAATCACCACCGACCAAATGGGGCATGGCTTGAAGTACGATTGTTACGGGGAAACCGTTTTAATGAGGACAATACAGTTATATAGTAACAAGTATGTATAATACGGTCGTAACAATGCCATGTCCCAGCTGACAACGAACGAACTGGAATTCGCCACATCTACACTGGCATTAGGCAAGTTTGACACTCCCATATAGAGATGCCATTCCAGATGACCTCACATTAAGACTGACTGATAAGACCAAAATCTGTGTCTGGTCCATAAGGCGCACTTATCATCGTTTGTAACGATCTGAAGTACACATGTGAGCAAAGACCTTAAATTTGGAAGAGAATAATATTGACCAGCATTATCATAATCCCAACGTTACAAAAAACGTTACATATCTGTGAAAAGTAGCGATGACCTAACTGGCAGCGAGTCAAAAATTGAACGCCTTATTAGGGGCCTTGTACTCACGCTATTGGCCATTGGCTTACGTCCGCGTTTTAGTTATTATATAGACATTGTCTGGTTGTCTGGAAACTCAAGACCAATAATGGGAGGCCTTTGTAAACTTTCCGTCATGTTCTTTAAGTTATCTACAAAACATTTATACGCCCTGGTCTTGAATATGCGGATGCAATATGGCATGTCTGTACTGCAGAACAATCTTCTTTTGTCGAGAGAATCCAACACCATTGTTTAATTGTTGTGTCTGGAGCTATCAAAGACTCCTATTATTCTAGAATATGTCAGGAATTGGGTTGGGCAACTCTTTCAAGCTGACGCCATCCATGTACGTCAGATTTTTTACGGCTTAACACGGAAATACCTTCACCTTACACATCCATTCCACTTAGCGGCGCTGTCGCCGCGCTCTCCCTGCGACCTGAAATTGGCCAGAGCGTGGAGAGAGCGACGAACTCCATGAAAAAACGTGCACAAGTGGAATCTCTATGACGACTTTTCTGCGCTCTCTTTGCGACCAAAAAAATCAAATGTCAGCTTCTTTTCTGGGCAGATCACTCAACGAGTTACTGAAATAAAGAACGACTTTTTGTATGTTTATGTGTATTTTGCGGAAAGATAGAACGAATTTGTTATGTTGTGTGCGACCCCCTGATCCCCGTCCAACGAAGCGAAAAAGGCGCTGCACTGCTCCCACCTCGCCCTTGACGATCTGCGGGCCCTTTGGTAAACCGGTTGAACGTCTCATGATGACGCGTTAAGTCACTCCCATTGACGTTGTCAGATATCATTTTTGGGGACGCTATCTCTTACGAGTAGTCCGTGTCCGCTTGCTCCCAGAAGAGCGGTTCCTACAAGTCCTGTCCTTACTGTCTACAAACCATCTGCTGTAGATGTGACAACAGTGAGTGTGGTTGTATTTTTTATACCAGTACTCCGCTTATGGCACTTTTGTTACAGTACACATCGAATGTGTACATTTAAGCTGTCTCCAATTAAATAATCCTGAAAAACGGGAAAATGGGATATAACAATGATGTAAATCAGAGGTAAGTCTGTCAAGGCCCCATTCCACCAGGACGACGTTCTCTCTTCGACCTGAAATTCACCGGCGCGGTGAGAGCGCCGTCACCTCGGCGACTGTTGTGAACCGGCTCATGCCGTCGCCGGTGGTGAGAGCGGCAAAAAGGACGACCAAACAAGCATTGAGCGCCGTGAGAGGTGCGCTCCCTATGCGCTCGCATGCCACCTTGGAGATCTCTCGGCGCACTATCCCCCCTCTGACCAATTTCAGGTCGCAGAGAGAGCGCGTCATGTGGAATGGGAGTATGATGGTTGATTTTCACATTTGATGGTATAATTTAGGCAAAGATAATCAGACTTACATTTCCGGTTTTACCTGGAATTCATTACCTTTGGCTCATTTTGTGAAAATGCGAGCTTCTTTTACCAAACCTACAGAAACCCACGCTTAAAACTACTCGATTGTACAATCCCCCTGTCCAACGAAGCGAAAAAGGCGCGGCACTGCTCCCACCTCGCCCTTGACGGTCTGCCAAAAGTTAGCATAATTTTGCTGCTAATCATCTCATCTTAAGTAAAGTATGATGCCCTCATGTCTAACTCCATGCGCTACCTAGTAAGCATGGCTATTGTGACTAATGTACATGTCGCTAGACTTCATCGTAATGTGTACTAGTTGGGACAAAAGTAACAGTTACATACTGAATCATTGCCAACTTAGAGAGTTGGCATGGCATATTAAGATTGCGTTATTTATCGATGATCTAGGTGTGCTGGCTGGTCATTGTCTGCCCTTGGGAAGCCAATTTACACGACTTTCCTCACTTCACTCAGGTGGAAATGAGTACCTAGGAAATGAGATAGGACGTTAACGATGGAGGTACCGTGTTTGTGAAAATGCGAGCTTCTTTTACCAAAACTACAGAAACCCACCACGTCTAAAACTACTCGATTGTACAATCCCCCTGTCCAACGAAGCGAAAAAGGCACAGCACCGCCCTCACCTCACCCTTGACGGTCTGCCAAAAGTTAGCATAATTTTTGCTGCTAATCATCTCATTTTTAGAAGAGCCACACCCACACACGTTAAAGAACCCACCGCACTTATCGAAAAGAGTAGGGGACTTTCCCGGTGTGAGTGGTACAATTAACCTTACAGTCCGGTCTTACGCAGCTTGTACATGTACGTACATGTACAAAACTGGTGTGTTACGCCTAAAGGCGGTTTACCGGTTATGCGAAACAAACAAACCAACCAAAGTATACGATCGTAATAGTGCCATGTCCCAGCTGACAACGAACGAACTGGAATAAGCATCTACACTGGCATCAGGCAAGTTTGACACTCCCATACAGAGACGCCATTCCAGATGACCTCACATTAAGACTGACTGATAAGACCAAAATCTGTGTCTGGTCCATAAGGCGCACTTATCACCGTTTGTAACGGTCTGAAGTACACATGTGTGCAAAAACCTTAAATTTCGAAGAGAATAATATTAACCAGCATGATCATAATACCAACGTTAAAAAAACCCTAGTAATACACATCTGCGAAAAGTAGCAATGGCCTAACTGGCAGCGAGTCAAAAATTGAACGCCTTAGGGGCCTTATACCCACGCCATTGGCCATTGGCTTACGTACGCGTTTGAGGTCAACAATGTTAGACATTGTCTGGTTGTCTGAAAACTCGACACCAATAATTGGAGGCTTTAACTTTCCGTCATGTTCTTGAAATTATCTACAAAATATTTATACGCCCTGGTCTTGAATACTTAGTATGGATGTACTGCAGAACAATATTCTTTTGTCGAGAGAATCCAATGCCATTGTTTAATTGTTGTGTCTGGACCTATGAAAGGTTCCTATTGTTGTAATACATGTCAGGAATTGGGTTGGGCAACTCTTTCAAGCAGACGCCATCCATGCCCATAGATCATTATTTTATAAGATTGTTTACGGCCTAACACGGAAATACCTTACACATCCATTTCGAATTCCTGCTTCTTTTTAGCGGCGCTCTCGCTGCGCTCTGTCTGCGACCTGAAATTAGCCGGAGCGCGGAGAGAGCGACAAACTCCATGAAAAACGTGCTCAAGTGGAATCTCTACGACGACTTTTCTGCGCTCCCTTTGCGACCATAAATGAAATGTCAGCAGCTTTAATGGGGACCAAAGATTTCTCAGATCACTCAATGAATTTCTGAAATAAAGAACGAATTTTTCTACGTTTTTGTGTATTTTGCGGAAAGATAGAACGAATTTGTTACGTTGCGTGCTACCCCGTAATCCCCCTGTCCAACAAAGCGAAAAAGGCATGGCACCGCTCTCACCTCGCCCTTGACGGTCTGCCAAAAGTCAACATAAGTTTGCTGCTAGTCATCTCATCTTTAGTATGATGCCCTCGTGTCTAAGTCCACGTGTTACATTGTGACTAATGTACATGTCTCATCATATTCAAATTATAAAATGAAGGGTGTAAGGCCCCCATTCCACTATGTTTTGCTTCGGTCATTTTCGGTCGAAATCGCTTCCCGCGATTTAGCTGTTCAAAAGGATGTCGAGTTTTTTTCCAAATAAAGTTAACCCAATGTTTAACTTTTCTCGTGTCTTCCCGTAAATTTCGGAGAAATTCCCAGAGAAAATGCACATGCAGGCAAAAGATCTAGAGAGTCCCAGCTTGATGACGACGTCACGCCATCAACTCCATCAAATAAGTCGAAGATATCGGCGAATGTTTTTCCCTACAGCTAAATTCACTTTGAACGGGAGGCTAGCGCTGACATCGATGTTAAAGGTTGTATTTCAAGAAATTACCCTTTTCATTCTATGTCCACTGTACGTTTTGTATTTGTTTCCCCAACTTTGTAATTATATCCTTCATGCTTTTGGAGCAGAGGGTCCTTATAAGCACATATTAGGGCCATGGAATTTTTTTTCCACCGGACTTCCAGCGCACCAGCCCTCCCCCGGTAAATATCGTACAGTCCCTTATACAGCGCGGCACACCAAAGAGATTATACCCTTATAAGGCCGTACCATTTAAATTTCATGGATGACATCCGCGCGCGCATTGATTTTCGCCTATTTTCAAAAAAGTTAAAGAAAAGATCACGTCCTCGGAGGCTCTAGGCCTGGGTAGTCAGTCCATGGTACTAGTAGTTAGCGACAATACGGAGCCGGTGGTAACTCTGGAGGATGGCACCTAGACCACCGAAGCTCCTTGACGGCAAAAACTCAGTACATACGCACAGTGCCGATTTATGAATTCCACAGAAAAGCCAGCATGTGCCGGCTTGTCGTATACGTCGCTATGTACTGCCGCAAATTCACAATTCACTTGAGTTACCCTGTGTGGGATCGTGTGGCGTAGCGGCAGTGTACGCGACTCGGAACTTAGAGTCCCGGGTTCGAGTCCTGACATGCCACCGATCTTGTGCCCTTGGGAAAGGCACTTTACACGGCTTTCCTCACTTAGCTCAGGTGTAAATGAGTATTGTCCTGTCATGTATTTGTGTTGGTGGCGGCATTGATATAAGTTGAAAAAACTTGAGTGTGCCGTCACCACGTCTGGTGATTACATGTTGGAATAAAAAAAAAAAAAATTCACAATACCAGATTTGTATTCCTGTGGTTTAGCAGCATTTTATTTTTGGACGGAATTTTTTAATTCGTCCGCGCGCACTAGTTTGGTGGTCTTCAGAGGATGTCATCCATAAAATCAAGACGGTGTGGCCTGTTCCACATGACCAAACAAATAACCTATAGAAACGGCACTCCTTTGCGCTCTACAATAGCTAAGCGTAACAGAAACACCTCAACACACCTTACATAATACATATCATACATACTTAGGGTCTTATCGGATAAGCTTTTAACACTAAACACCAGAAAGTCACGGGATATTAAGCTTAGGCGTGCCCGTATTGGTGGGATCTACGAATCAGGAACACTGTCAAAAATACGATATATATATTTAAAATACATACAATTGTAAAACATATATGTTTAAGAAAAATATCCGATATTATCCGATAAGACAATAAGTATGTCCTCAGTGTTGCTTTCAGCAAAAACTGAAACCCAGACAAGGAAGACTACGTGAAAGTCTCCTTATTATCCTTAATTATCGATGACTGCAAACTGTATCTAAGTCACGACATCAGACTCGAGTCTCAGGAATTAAAACATCTTAATGACTTAGCTAGAGACAAGCCAAGATGGATTGAATTGTACAGAGACATACACTGATTTGGTCTGTTAATTGTAGTTTAGAGTTAATCGACTGCTAGTATACCACCAAGAAGTTATATTATTACACGTAATTTTAGAAAACGCAAAATCACGACGATCCATCAACCGGTTCTTGAGTTACCCTTCCTGCAGTTCCAGAGCTAGCAGCTAGGGGGGCTCAAACGCATGTCACTTCATCCCCAGCACAAGAACCCTACCATGTTTGGATCATGAGAAATCAAAACCGGAAGTTCTGATGCAGACCCAAAATCTAATCACTAATCACAATCACTAATCACAATCCATCAAGGTCTTCTCGAGTTATCGACACACACAGACACTCACACAGACACACTTGGCCTTCTTGGCGAAGGTAATTACAGGAATTGGGTTGGGCAACTCTTTCAAGCAGACGCCATGTCCACAGACTATCATTATTTTATAAGATTGTGTATGCCCTAACACGGAAATACATAATTGAATTACTGCTCCCAGAAATTTTCAATACTGCGTCGTATAACATAAGGAACAAATCCAACTTCAAACTAAACAGACCATTTACCAATAGATATACACAATCCTTTATCCCGTACTGTTTATAATATGGGAATGATCCTAACCTTATATAATATTCGCTGCCTACGTTATTCGCTGTCTACGCTAGTTACCATTTAAGAATCACCTTACAAAACTAGTACGCCCTGAAGGCTCTCGTGGTACTCTTGTGGTCCCCGATACACCTGCGCGCTTCTTGCCCGGTTACGCATCGGCACCTGCAAAATAGTCTTTCTGAAAGTGCTCGACTTCATCTTGTTTTCAGAGGCTCTTTGACGATACATTCTGACTACTGTGACAAAATTATGTATATTTACTCAAGCTAATATAAGAGATACTAAACGTTTCCAGGTTAATTCCTTTGGTTAATTATTGATTATTAGTACTTCTTCTGTTTACATATTATTGCATGGGGAAGGAGTTTTTTTCAGCGCTAGCGCACACGTTTGTTCTCACTTTTATTCTTATTTTATATATTTGTATTGGTTGTACTTGTTTTGAGTTAAGTCAAGTGTCAAGTGGGGACTGTTCAAATGAGTATATAACTTGAGTGTAGTCTCTTGGTCCAAGTTAAAATCTGCAAAATGAAAATTTATGTCATAATGCACGCGTAACTAAGGGAAGTGTAAGTGTGTGTGTGTGCGTTTGTGTGCGTGCGCGCGCGCGCGCGCGCGCGCGCGTGTGTGTGTGTGTGTGTGTGTGTGTGTGTTCTTAAATTTTGTAAAACAAATGCGAGCTTCTTTTACCAAAGGTCGCGATCCTACTGTGGGTCGGGCTGGTTCCGTAGAATGCGCAAAAAAGGTAGGGTACCAATTACGGGAACTCCCTGCGTTTGTTGCGACATTTGTTGTAATTGTCAATACTCCTATTGTGTAGTTTCCTGGAAAAACAACCTGGTGATCTTTGTCGACGAGAGCAACACCCCTAACCAGAATGACCCTGCCGATGTTTGCCTCTGTGGAATGCGCAAAAAGGAGGGTACCCTGTGAAGACTGTCCCACCCAGTGTAGACCTTAGGGTGTGTCAGATCAAACATGCCCGTCATCTGCATGAAGTCATTATATTTTTCGTTCATGCAAGTGCCCCTGTTTAAGCTACTTATTTCTGGGGTAATCCCCTATACCCTAAGTCTTTTAGAGAAGCTCTTAAGCACGTACACACCACTGTCTGAGCTTTTACACAGGAAACACCTGGGAGAAACCCTGACTGGATGCAGGGGTTGGTTCGTATACAATGCCAGGATGTTATTGTCCCTGTTTGCCGTTTTGTATTCCATTTCTTCTTGTTTTAGAAAGTTTGGTGAATATGTACTGACATTAACTAAAATTTACTGGGTTTGTGTTATATGCAGGTAAATATTGTCTATCACATTTATTGGGTATTTACATATCCACTTTTCGTGCAGTGTCACATGTACAACTGAACTACCCTTTTTCGCAGGTTCTACGAGTCTTTTTGATAATTTTCTAAAATACCATCCGATATAGCCTGTTAAAAAGACTAGTTCATCACTAAGTCCTTCAGCGGCACTATCAAATTCATATCACGCTTGGAGAGAAAGACTGGACCCGCACGGAATGTCTTTGTCTAAGTCTAATGTCTTTTTTCCTGTTTTAGGATGACGAGCTCACGGACCTGCTGGCTGTTAGCGGTCCTCCTTGGCTGCTGCTGCCGATGCCTGACACAAGAACGTAGGCGTGTTTTTGTTGTTTTAGTACCAGTACCCGAGAAATATTTCCCTCCAAATATGTAGTTAAGTTGTACTTAGTTTGCTTCACAAATTCGCGTGTGAAAACGAAATAGGAGGGATATTTGTGAGGCGGTCGGTTTGTAGGCTAATTTAGGGTGACAGGTGTCTTTCAGTTATTCTGTTAAAAACTCACCAAGTTTAACAAATTTTTCAATTGTGATAAGTGGACCGAGTGGAAGGAAGAGAAACTGCTAAACCGTCTATGGCCATGACTCCCTTTGGTCATTATCAACTAAATTCTTGACTTATGCTGCCTTCAAACAAACACACAAATAGCATCCACTTTGGAACTAGCAATAGCAACATCTTATTTCGACAGAATCAACGGAAAAAGAACAATTCTTGGGCCCCATTTTTACCGGCCAGCCAAGGAACGTCGTGTTTGACAGTCACTCCGCTGGGCAAGAAGTCAGACTACAATGCGCGGTAAAGGGAGAGGAGCCGATCACATATCGTTGGCTGAAGAATGATAACGCATTGGAGCTGGTAAGATTGTATTTATTTACATTCACATCGCTTACATATTGTTCACCTGTATGACGTATTGATCATAGAAGGTCAGGCGAGGAACTGACTGTTGTGTTGATCCATAGTGGCAGAGCAATGCATTTGCAGCACAACTGTAATATGCAGATTATTACCTTCGCCAAGAAGGTTATGTTTTCAGAGGTGTTCGTGTGTGTGTCTGTGTGTCTGTCTGTAAACACGATAACTCGAGAAGGCTTACATGGATTGTCTTCATACTTGGTAGGTGAGTAGGTCTTGATGAGACCTAGAAATGATTAGATTTTGGGCCCCCTGGCGGCTTGTTGTGGTACTGCAGCTGAACTTCCGGTTTTTATATCTCATGATCTAGACATGCTAGAGTGACGAAATTTGGATGGTAGGTAGCTCTTGTGCTTGCTCTGCGCGTACTCTCCAAGCAGAGGTTGTGGGGGAATGATCGTTACCTTTTTATATATGGCCGGTGTTTTTTGTCTTTATCCCCACCCACTTTATCCCCGTCGGTGGCCGCGGAGCTTCTCTGGCTAATGGATACTGCCTGGCGTAGGTTTGGGCCCCTGGAACTGCAGGGGCGTTTCTTTAAAAATATTCAAAAGAGGATAACTCAAGAACCGGTTGACGGATCGTTGTGATTTTTGGTATGTATGTAGCTTAAGTGACGCTTGGCATAATTATGCGATAATTATGCAAATCTGGATGTAATTTGCATAATCTATGAGGAAATTCTATAAATCAGCTGCATTGCATTATAGGACTATTCAAGCCTGAAAGATATGTAATTGAGAACGAGAGAAAGACAGGCAGATATTGATTGTGTAAATTAACACTTACTTTGCATAATTAATTAGAAAATGTTATAATTCCATAATGGTAACTGCCTGGAATTTCATACTTGGGGTATTTGAAAGTTAAGTGAAGGTGAACATCATTAAACATAACTTATTCAAATAAGGACCTCATTTGCATAATTTATGAGGAAATGATATAGAATGGCTTTCTATGTTAAGATAAGGCTGTCTTTTGGTGGATAATATGATCAACTGATATAATTCATGCAAATAAGGATAGTATTTGCATAATCAAGAGGAATAATCTTTACTAATCAGTCATAAAGATTAACATCGTTTGGCGAAAGTCCCATTCTGAGGACGTGTAGCATGTTCTTAGAATTTTTGCGCGTCACATTCCTATTAAGTATAAATGTATAATAAAGGTCTTTCCTCTTTCATCATTATTAACATTTCCGACAGAATTCTCGACAAGCGCCATACGAGGTGGACGCCGGCACATTGATCATAAAGAACCCGGAGAAGAGCAGAAACGAAGGGGGGTACCAATGTGTGGCAGAGAACAAGCACGGCACGGTCCACAGTCACTCGACAGCTCTCCGATTTTCTTGTGAGCCTTGCCACGTTTTATATCAACTGATTTATTACTGTTAACAGTAGGCCTATCTCATGATGCTTGTCGCACGCATGATCCTACATGTGCACCTGGTATCTTTTCTCAGATGTCAATCCGTTTGCCTCGACTCCGCGCCCACCAGTGACCGTACGTCAGGAGGAAGGAGCGGTTCTCCGGTGCCAGAAACCAGAAGCATATCCAGGTAAGGTTTGTTGCATTGTACTGGTGTTTCTTGTCCATGTGAATAAGAAACTAATGTATTTAGAGTACGTTGTGAATATCTTATTTCATTGATTACAGTGAATTTGACCCTGACTCCTTGCATATTCCACCAGCACTTCCTCCCAACCTGTGTGGAGACCATTTTTTACCTCCACACTTATTATAACTGTTGTACACGATTTCATGTGGCAATTAGTTTCTATGCCTGTACTCATGACCTTAAACATGTCCTTTTCTTATACCTAGAGATTCTTATCATTATCTCGTGGGTCTGGTAAAGATGAAAGCCACACCACAGTGCCAGCGCCTCAACTATCTTGTTGATCGTACACTTCCAGGTCTCATCTTCTTCTGGGTGGAGTCAGTCACACTTGATCCGGCCTTCAGGGGTAGCGACCAGCGGGTGTACGTGTCTCAGAAGACGGGAGACTTGTACTTTGCCCGGGCTGAACCGAGCGATGAGGGGAAATACCAGTGTGTGATCAGACTGAGTCTAGAAGGGTCTGAACTTCGTTACCTTAGCCCAACAAACTCATTTTCAATATCAGGACAAGGTGCGTATATTTCAATTATGTCCTCAATAGACCGACTACGGTCTTGCTTGGAATAATCACAAGCTTTACTACACCTCAGAATGTTGTTTGTCGTTGCACTTGCAGATTCTAAACATCATATAATAGACGTTCTCTCTTTGAATATCTAATTCGCTACATGTGCACGTTCTACATTGTAACTGTATCAACCCTTAAAATACGTAATTAAAAAGCAGGTAATTGCGTACATTTCCATATATTGATAATATCTATTACCTCCCCAAGTCTTCATTTCTAATTTGCTGTCTACATCAACATAATACCGTGTGTTTTTAGCATCATCCCAATCAGCTACTAGCCTGGTTCTTTACGAGGGGGCTACGATAGAAGCAGCTGCCCGTACGACAGTCGTGATGGAGGCCTTTGCCTACGGAAAGTCAGTTATCCCCTCATTCTCATCGCTATAACTTTATATACGTTGGCGTTGAATTATTTACGTTTGTCAATAATTCCTTACCAGGCTCTGTGTCATGGCTGGGGATTGTAGAGGCTCCCCAAAAAGCCCAACCGCAGAGCTTGCTAAGGAAGCTAACTTCTGTCCTCCGTGGTTACTGGCTGTTGGAAAGCTGGGTTGGCTTTGTGGTGGAAAAGAAGTGCGTATTTTGATATGTTCCTTTCTATTTTCTCTTGGCCTTGTGCTCGGACTTATGTGGATTTGATTCTGTTCTTCTGTTCCTTCAGCCCAATTCCAACATTGACGTGGCGGCGTCTGGACGCACAAGGCAATGTGGTTGCCATGCCTCCGAGTAGCAGGCTGACCATGGAAACTTTTAAAAGATCCTTGACCATAACTGACGTGCGGAGTGAAGATGCAGGCTTCTACGAGGTCAGAGCATCCAACAATTTGCGGTCACAAACACGGAGAACTCAACTCATCGTTCAGGGTAATCAATGGACACTTTTGTCATTGTCGACATATATAACAGTATGGGTAACCCGGTGTGTTAGCAGTAGCAAAGCCACATTGCACTCATTAGCTACTTGAAAAAGTGTCGTGCTTCACCTCAGTTAAGAATGACTGCTTTACCTCACCTTTGCCTTGTCCTCTACAGCTATCCCCGATTTGATCAGATTGGAGCGGAACATCTTCCGCCAGGGTCTGGGAGCGTCGGTGACGTTTGGTGCAGGCTGGCGCAGTTCAGAGCCAGTCACTATCACCTGGCTGCATAACGGCAGGGTTCGTAATCTTTTCATCTTCCAACCAGAGAAAAAATCAGTCAAAAGATACAGACTAAGTTAAAGAATCCTGCTAGTATAACATGATGATCTAATAAGTCTCCAGGTCTCTTGTAAAGGGAAAGTTTATTGTTATTTTAAGGAGGTTAAACTGTTTTACACAGATTCTGACAGAAGGAGGCAGATACAGGATGACGCGTTCCGACAATACGGCATCACTTCAGATCATCAACCTCGTCGAGGAAGATAGTGGCATCTATCAGTGCTCCATAGGAAACACTTACGGCACCGCTTATGGAAGTGGTTCACTACTTTATTCAGGAGGTAATGGCCTTCTCCAGATAAATATAGTAACAGAGGTATTTCAGCTACCTCAATTTGAACAAATCACTATGTATTTTGAGACAACCCCAAAAAATTATAAATGGCTTGCATTTATTACTAAGTCTTACTAAGTCTAAATTTATTACACAGGACCAACCAACTTTGAGCAGGTCATTCAAAGACGATACCTCTTTCTTTTCAGCCCCATCCTACCTAACAAACTTCAGACGAACAGAAAGTGGGGACAGCTATGCAGTATTTGTTTGGGGCCTGCCTGAAGGCAGCACCATCACTGACATAAGAAGATATCAATTTTTTGTTACACCCAAGGGTGGGGGATACACGAGGATCATTAATGTCCCACCAGAAGAGACAACAGTCCGTATTGATTCTTTCAGCAACCACAGTAGCAACTACATTATTGAGGTACGACACACTCTTATATCTACTTACATGGGTGATGGAATGGTAGGGTGTGTTACAAATGCAGCTGATTCAAACATCATTACCATCACATTTCTATTTGATGCATGCCTTATCTCACCTGGTTAGTATACACTTGCTCTTGTATGTAGCTTCTAAACTGATAAACATGGTATCTATGCTAATACTCCTTATCCACAAGCAACGTCCATGGGCTTTCAAGAATAACCTATCACAAATCATATGCTCGCAAAGCGAATGGGATGGTATCATACCCCCCCCCACCTTCGCCAAGAAGGTTATGCTTTCAGAGGCGTTCGTGTATGTGTGTGTCCGTCACGGGACACGATAACTTGAGATGGCCTTGATGGATTGTCTTGATACTTGGTAGGTGGGTAGGTCTTGATGAGACCTCAAAATGATGATTAGATTTTGGACCCCCTAGCGGCTTGTTATGGTACTGCAGCTGAACTTCCGGTTTTGATATCTCATGATCTAGACATGCTAGGGTGACGAAATTTGGATGGTAGGTAGCTCTTGTACTGGGGAAGAAGTGCCCCCTAGCGGCTTGCTCTAGAACTGCAGGGCTATCTGTTTGAAAATATTCAAAAGAGCATAACTCAAGAAGCGGTTGACGGATCGGAGCGATGCTTAAAATAATTATGTAACAATTATGCAAATAAATCAGCTGCATTCCATCATAGGACTATGAAGCTTGTGACATTGGTAATTGAGAAGAACATAAACACAGGCAGGTATTGATCATGTAAATAAAGACTTAATTTGCATGATTAATGAGAAAATGTTATAATTCTGTAATGATAACTGCCTGGAATTTCATACTTATGGTATTTGAAAGTTCATTGAAGGTGAACATCATTTAAACATAATGTATTCAAATTAGGACCTCATTTGCATAATTTATGAGAAAATGCTAGAATGGCATTGTTTGTTAATACAAATGTATAAGACTGCCTTTTGGCTGAGAATATGGTAAACTGATATAATTCATGAAAATGAGGATCCTATTTGCACAATCAGGGGGAATAATCTATAATTTGTCAGCCAAAAAGATAAACATTATTTGGCGAAGATATGAGATCGGGGAACTCTAGTTTGTTATATTTCATATTCACTTTTCTTCCTAGGGTCGAGCGAACAGCAAGACACTTGACATACCAGGTCCATTGACCACTGAAGAGACAAAAAGGATTGATCCGCCTAAGCCAAGGACGGCAGTACCGCTTCTTGCTTGGCTTCTCCCGCTGCTGCTCCTACTATTGCTGTTTCTACTGGTAAGATCTTTCTGCATTTGTCAAAGTTATAACCTTGGTTATATATACATGTATATCAAACTCGATACTCAAAGTTATAACTTCAGTAGGAAGTTGGAGATTCAAGATGACCTCAATATGACTTATTTGTTAACACTTTAGAGCAGACATAAGGAATATAAAGACTACATGTAGATGCTGAAATATAAACTTAATTGGAAAACCAAGACCTCTATTCATGTCCCAAACACAGCATGCTTCATGGATCGCTGCTGTGTTTCAAGTCTTCAAATACATACCTGTACCTGGTCCAATCCTCATGCATGATACATACATGTGCGAATCATCGGTGAAACTGATCATGAAACTGGCAAAACAATATAACGTTGTGTGGTTATTTGATAACACCTATGTTTAATCAGTGCTGTTGCTGTTGCCTGTGGCTGGGGCTGTGTGGGAAATACTGCCCCTGTTGTACCTGCTGGACCTGTTTCGGGGGATCTCCTACACCACCACCACCACCACCATGTAGGTTGTAATATTGGCCCTGCAGACGGCCTTAGCATTTGTCGTGCTGAGGACAAACTCGTAGTGATTAAACTCAATTATGAAGTACATCCTGCAATGTATTTGAAATGCAGGAAGTTCTATATACACGTGTATAGCCTTGTAAACATCCAATCCTGAGCTTCTGGCATCTCCTAATCGGGACTGGAAGTGTTGTCTGCCATCTCATGTCCTTGGAAATTTTTACGGAATGGGATTCAGTTACCTGGTGCACAGGCACGATTATAGAAGTAGGCTGACAGAAAAAAAAAACATGCTTTGCAGGGTCAAAGCAAGTAAAACACCCCTACGTAAGATGGTTACCAGGCTATATACACAATGTAAATCGATTTTATTCATGCTGCTCTTTCTGCCATGTAAAGGATCAAAGATGTCCAAAGCCTCTTTTCTGCATGATGTTAGGAGAATAAATTTTCATTAATTTCATGTCAAGCTGAATTCAATCCAGGATCTAACACATTGAGACATCTAAACAATTGCCAGAAAAAAGAAATGCTGATGTTATGTTCATACTCCAGATGGTCTAAGTGCCTCCTGAACCCATTATCTTCTCTGTCTGCTGCAGGTGAACCTATGGATAAGCACCACCGTGAGATGCTGAAGTTGTACCGACCTGACGCTGTCGAATATGTCAACCGTCCTGACCGGGTCTTTATGTACTTAACCTCCATAAATGTGCTCCCTGCCAGCGTGATCAAGGTCATCAACAAGTAAGATAATCATGTATTCCACTCTTAAATAGTCAGGACAGTGAAGAGCACACTGTTGTAGATTCCTTAAATGTTGGCGTCCCCAGTCCTAGTGCCACCCGGTCCATGAATTGAATTAGGATATAGTTCCTACCTATTGCATACCTCTTCTCCTGGCAATGCTGCTCCAGTATCCAGTATCAGTATCCAACTTTGATTTTCCCTTGAAAACCTTTTCCTCTTCTACTTCAAGAACATTCCCATCACAGGCCAGTAACCGCTTTTGTTGATACTGTTTCACATGATTAGCAATCCTGTTGGTGGGCATGGTGTTGGCCAATTCTACAGATTGGACTTGATGACTATGTTTCAGGCAGCATTATACCAAAGACCAGTATAACAGGAAGATTGTAGACACCCTGATACAACATGGAGGGAATGACGCCTTCAAAGGATACTGCTCTTCACTCAGGAAGGAGAAGTTGTTCTGGCTGGCAGACACTTTGGAAGGACAAGGTAAATAGTCCAAAGTACATGTAGCTGATACTGGATGATGACATGAATATTTTGCTTCAAATCAAGGTACTAAAGAAATCTTACCTTTCTGCCATCAGGACTGTCCATTTACCGGCGAGAGCTGCTGACACGACACCAGTCTGTCCTGGTGGAGAGGATGGACCCTGACATAACCCTGGCCCATCTCTCAAAGCAGAGGGTAACTGTTTCCAACAAATCACATTAGCACGAGAAAGCGCATCTTCGTTAACATTGATATCCTACTATATTTCACAATTTTAAAATGAAGCTAGACATGTTCTAATATCTTCATCGTACTTGGGTCAAAATAAAAATGGGAAGCAATATCACAAACTGCAGGATCTAGAGCTTGTCTTTGTATGTGGCCATATATAACATTTATTTTAACGAATATTTTGGCATAAATAGATCACATTCAAATGTTGGGGTTATCCAATTTTTAGCATTCTGTACTAAAACCAAAGGTTTTACCTATCGATGTCCTGGGTAGGTGTTCACTAGTGCCATGACTGAGTACGTCTCAAGTGCAACCTCACGTGAGGAGAAGAACAGACGCATTCTTCATCTGCTACAGTCACGTAGTGATGATGAATTCTCCGTGTTCCTGGACGCTCTGAGGCTGAATGAAAGCCAGCCTCCTCTTGTGGACCTTTGTGCGTATTGTTTTGTTGATCTTTAAAACTATATATTGTTTGTCATGCTTTCATTGTTGTGTTCTGATTTCATTGTACTGTACATGATTGTGTATAAATGTAAAATGTAACAGTTTGGTAAAGAAATCCTACAGCTTTATGATTGTTTTCATTGATCAATTCTTTCATATCAACTAAAAGCTGAAGCACTTACTAATAGTTGTTAATAATGAAAGAAATTAGCTAGAAATGAGAATGTTGATAATGCATGTACCAAATTTTTTTCTTTGTGTGGCCGATAATTGTGTCTGGGTCAAAATGGGTACTACAATTGCTTTAATCTTTTAGGCCACAGTAGTAAATTGTATGGATGACATCCTCTGCAGACGCCAAATCTAATACAATAGGGCAAAGCAAAAAACAAGGCGGGCCAAAAAAGCAAGATTCCTACATTTTCAAACTTGACATCATAAACCTTGTTAAACAAGAAATGATTGTGCTAAATTTACTGCCAACTATTACAATATCCATTTGTCACTGAAACAACTTTGAAAAATAATTGTTCGATCATTGTACAAATAGCCTGGTTGCCATCCAATTCATAACGGCAATCCTGAAAAAATTCACATATGCACAGCTACCATCACATTTGAAAGGAATGAAATACTTCACTGCATCAAAGACAAAAGAGCCTTGTCTTGTCTTCTCTTTTCATATTTATCTGCCATCCACCTTCTGGCATGGCAACAGACATATTTCAGCCCATTTTCGGTATGTTGACCACGTACTGTCAGAGGGTAACAAAATTTCTTTTTCTTCCCAAAATCAGGTGAAAATTAATACGCGTGCTGATGTCATCCCTAAAATTTACTTGCTGTGGCCTTAGCTACAGCATATTCTGCATGCCTCGAGGATTTAGTCTTCCTAGATTGGTTAAGCTTTAACGTAGGCAAGCACCATCTCATGTTCTCCTCCCTCCAGTTGAGCCGAGCCAAGTGACCCTGCCTGCTGGGCCAGGCAAGCAGCCAAAGCCCCAGCCTTGGCCAGGTCAGCTGCAGCAGCCGGCATGGAACGGTGGTGGTCAGCTGCAGCAGTCAGCATGGAACGGTGGTGGTCAGTTGCAGCAGCAGTCGGCATGGAACAGTGGTGGTCAGCTGCAGCAGCCGGCATGGAACAGTGGTGGTCAGTTGCAGCAGCAGTCGGCATGGAACGGTGGTGGTCAGCTGCAGCAGTCGGCATGGAACAGTGGTCAAATCTGTACGTATATGTATAAGCCTTGTGATGCACCTGCACATACCTTAACATGGCAGGCAATGAAAATCCTTACCATGGTGACGATTGAATGATTTCTATTGTATGTGGTGGAGCCAGAAATTTCCATTACAATGCTTCTAAGAAAAACAGACGTTCACTACACACTTCCCCCTCCTCCACTCTTATAATTACCCTTTCTTAAAACTTAACCCCCTTCGCCACTTGTACCTTCATCACATCTTCCCCCTCCCCCACCTGTGCCCTTTCTCCAATCTTCCCCCTCCCCCACTCGTATCCTTCCTCAGTTTGCCCGAAATGCTGTCTTTCACATGGAAAGCATAAAAATGCCTTTCCTGCTAAGGCCTCAGTCCTAAGGCCACATTGCTGAATGCTACCTCCAAACCAATTCCATAGAGAATGCATTCGTGCAATTTTTGAAATTCTTTCAAAGTGTTGTACTGTAAAACATGCGTCAGCCCCTGAGGCGTTACCAAAAATAGTAAGTTGCATGTTCAGCGAGGACTGTCCTTACTCTTAAGCCTCTGTTGAACAATGTTGCTTTGAGAGGGGTGAGCATAGATTTCACATGTATAACATGACTGAAACTTGGAAAGGAAGCATTGAATCTGGTGATTATAGAGATGGCAAAGAACTTTTGGAATTGAGAAACAAGGATTAGTGAATCTTGAAATACCTTAAAGTTTATTGTACATTCATGCCACGACGGGCTAGGTACAGGTCAAGACTTAACATACACATTACAGACGTATATAGAAAATTGGAGACAGAAGATACACTACTTGACTTAGACATACAAACATAAGGAACAAACAAGGGTACTATACTAAGCTAATTCAATAAGCGTTCTGGTTACTGAGCTAATACAGAGTGGTCAACTTATCGCTTTTTTGTACAATGGAAAATGTGGGAACAGATCATGTTTGTGATACATGGTTTGTCTAGACGCATCAAAAATATAAATTTATCATTTGCACTTAGGTGTTCAAAGTATGGGAACTTCTCTTTGATATGATTGAAAAGGACAGATCTTTTATTAGAATATAAAGTACAGTCTTGTGTTGTTCATCTTCTATTCTATTCATGTTACAGTATTGACAGAGTCTATTAGAATGTTTTGCACCTTCCACTACACTTGCGAGGATTGCCAAAGCAATGGAAAATGCCTAATATTATTCTGTATAACCTCACGTTTTCATTAAGAAAGATTTCCTTCCTGAAATGCCATTTGTAACGATACACTGTCCCAACAGCTGGTAGCAAGGTCTACATTCACCAGCAGACGAATTTGAAGGGAGTAACCGCAAAAAAGGGGCTGCACTTCACTGACCCTTCCATCAAGTCAGGTGCTTCTACAATGGTCCAGATTGGACAGCCGGTCATTCTGGAGGTCAATGGAGAAGGTGTGTCCCAAAGTTTCAAGGCTGGCTATGTTGCCGAAATGATCTCCCTTTCAGTTTCTTTGAGGCATTGCTAGTAGAACGACTATGTAATGAATGGAAGAAAACGTATACATGTACATTGTCATTGTCAACTTGTTGTTTTTTACATGGTATCATGATGGTTTTCTTTGGTGGTTATGTGGTGACCAGCCATTACAAGACAGGGTATCGAAGTGTAAACTACATGACATGATTATGAGAGTTGTTCCAAGATGCTATATTTGTAAACACTTGAAGTTATACAGTTAAAGCTATAAAGAGTTGCATACTTATCCGCTTCATTCCTTGCGAGACATATTAGGCCATGACTTTGTCGGATAATAGTCTTTCTTTTCTTTTTCAAGTGGACAATGCCCATTGGATGCTCAATGACGGGCCTCTGCCTCAACACAAAGGCGTCCACACCCGTGCCTACGGCCTGACCCATCAGCTGACGATAGACGCCATGACCCATGACCTGGCAGGCACCTACACCTGCCAAGGTACCACTCCAGATGGCGCCATGTTGTCATGTGACATCAACATCACATCAATGGACCCCAAAATGGCAATGTAGGCTGAAAATATACTTGTAGAGTAGCATTCTGTTGCCATTGATGCTTTTAATTACCTTCGGCAAGAAGGTTATGTTTTCGTAGGCGTTTGTGTGTCTGTGTGTGAGCACAATAACTCAAGAAGGCTAAGATGGATTGTCTTGATATTTGATGGGTGGATAGGTCTTTATGAGATGTCGAATTGATTAGATTTTGGGCCCCCTAGTGGCTTGTTATGGTACTGTAGCTGAACTTCCGGTTTTGATATCTCATGACCTAGACATGCTAGGGTGACAAAATTTAGACAGTAGGTTGACGTGAGTTTGGCCCCCCTAGTGGCTTCCTCTAGAACTGCAGGGCTATCTGTTTTAAAAATATTCAAAAGAGGATAATTCAAGAACCGGTTGACGGATTGTCGCGATTTTTGGTATGTAGGTAGCTTATGTGATGCTTGATGTAATTATGACAATTATGCAGATATGGATGTAATTTGCATAATTTGTGGCAAAATTATATAAATCAGCTGCATTCAATGATAGGACTATGAAAGCTTGTGACATTGGTAATTGAGAATGAAACACAGGCAGATATTGATTATGTAAATGAGGACTTAATTTGCATAGTTAATGAGAAAATTATATAATTATGTTAAGACGACTGCCAGGAATTTAATACCTGTGGTATTTGAAAGAACATCATTTAACAGAACGTATTGAAATCAGGACATCATTTGCATAATTTATGAAGAAATGCTAGAATGCCATTGTTAATATAAGACTTATTTTGGTTGAGAATATGATAAATTGATATAATTCGTGAAAATGAGGATCCTATTTGCACAATCAGAGGGAATAATCTACAAATTGTCAGTCATAAAGATGAACACTATTTGGCGAAGGTATGAGTTTGGGGAACTCTATTTGAAATTGCAACGACCTAAATATGAACTAGTGATCCACAACCAAACAGCTTCATTGAAAACTACTCATAGATTGTTATTTGCATTTAAAAAATTGTAAGACTAGCATGGCCAAGTTCACTAGAATTATCTCTACATTTAGGCCAAAACAAGATAGAGCTTTAGTGTTTAACATTTTTAAATGTCTTGTTTAAAAACCTTGTCATTGATAATGCAAATGACTACACAATATAGATCTTGCCATATATTAGTTGCAGTCAGGTGTCATACATGCGTCATACATTTTACTGTTGAAGCAGTTGTTAGCTTTGATTACTGGTAAGGATAATGCTCATTAAAGGCATCCAATGCAAAACAACAAAAAATATTCTGGATGAGGAAATTTACCTGATAGCGAAATTTACTTAGCCTGGGTACCAGGATGGTACCCAGGCTAAAATTTACTGCCATCATTTCATACTGAAAACATTTGAAATAGCTCAAAAACAAGCTATCAGTGAGGTGTCTCTTTATTTTTTGGTACCATCCATAAATAGCTTGAACAGCTTATGATTTGAAACAAGCATTTGAAACAAGTTTTCACCTACATCGCCTTTTTGCCACACAGGTATCAGAAACAGGAATTACTTAACTGACTACAAGTACATCAAAACAAATTGGCTAGAAAATCCAGTGCAAATTGAATTTGATGCCTTTAAGAACATGATATGCAGCTAGATGGCATAGATTATGAACATTATATCCTACAGTTAACTAGTAGATGGTGTTAGAAAAACATTTTTAATATTTGCACTTTAAGAAATGTAGCAATACGGAAAACAGTTAAGTCTATTAAATAAGGGCAAATAGGAGTTAATTGCCAAAATATAACAAAGTACAATATCAAGACATTTTGCTTTTATAACCCTTTTTTGGGCCCAGGAAGATTATAATGTTGTGTTTCCAATTACAGTTTTAATTAGGAATGGAAGGTACAGATTTTGTCAAAGTGGTCTAAAAAATAGTCTAACAAATTGTAAAGCTGAAATACATCAGGACAAAGGTATCTCAAATGCATGTATTTCAATTATTCGCCTTGAGTAACAAGTGTTTGTATCAATAACAAAACTTAAAAGTAAAATGATTCTACATTTTCATCACTCAGATGTCATATCAAAAATGCCCCTTGCCAGTGGCCAGCCCTAACAAAAGGCAGGCTAGGGTTGGCAGATTTCTGCTACAGTTGGTTGGGTAACCAGAAATGTTAACATTTATTTTCCTTGGCCTTAGCTTGATGTCCTGACCTGTTCCAATACTGTGAAGTGTGAACTGTAAGCATATCATACCATAGACTTAATGGATAGTCAATTTTTAACTAGTTGAGAGTTTAATCTTTTTAATAATTAAATAATATTTTAAAGTTTGATTTTATCTGTTCCAAATCTACCTGGAACTTAAAATACCTACGGATGATGGTTTGATTTGTTGGTTCTCGGATTGTTTTCATAAAAAATATGAAGCGACAGGGTAAAAAAAAAAATACAAAAATAGAAACAGGTCTAGCCACCCTATTATAGGCACAAATGCTACGATAGAAGCCATGAAGTCAACACAAAAGGCTGGGTCAATATCTAAACAATGAAATTTGAACTTTTAATCAAACCAATGCATAATAGATGAAAAACTGTAACAATTAGGAAGAAAAGGACTTTATTAAACTGTTAGGGGCAAAATATGACTATGAGCATTTTTGAGTTCATTCAGAACCAGAATCTTTTTTTTTTGCAAATCATTAAGAAATGAAGAAGCGAATCCGAGAACCAACGAATTAAATTCCTGTGGCCTTAATATGTTGAAATACTTGGTGAGTTTTTGTAGCTTATTGTTTTTAATAAAGGGGCAAATTCGGTAAATTCAGACTGTTGTTGCTTTCAATGGCTCAACCTTGTTCATTACACCACCTAAGATACTAGTATTTAGCAGCTGGTTTAGACACAGTCATATGCTAAGAAGAAGAAAGATAGGTCATGTACAATCATTTTCATTTTGAAAATATAAGTTGGTACACAAAGACATGTCTAGCGCTACAAATGCAGTGATAAAATTTTTTGTCATAATATTTGACATGATGCAAAAGGAAAACATTTACTGGTTTTAAATCAGAGTATAGTTTATTTGCCATCAAATTTGAGATAAAATAGTGCACACACCATGCACATTGCAAAAACTGTATACAAATTTTAATTCAATGGAGCTTCATTCTAGTAGTCACTGTAACACATGAGTGTATATGAGTATAGGGGTATTGACACTGTATAATATTGTTGTTGTAAATGTAAAATATATGAATTACTTTGAATCCCAGATTTAAATTTGATTTTGAATTGATACAAAGACCCTTGTGTTCAACTGAAAATCTTACACAAACAATAAGTACTTGCATGCAAGTAAAAGTCGAGTAAAAGAAGGCCTCGGCCTCCATACGAAAACTTTTCCCAATGTCTAAAAATGTTGAGTCACCGTCAAATATAGAAATTACCAACAAAGTCTTTTAAATTGCAGCATTGGTTCACTAGATAACAATATTCATGAATGGGATAATCTGATACTAGTAACTAAAAGGTTAAAATATTTCATAAATTTACTTCCTGCAACACAATGCATATAAAATGTAAAAATTTAATATACACATGAAATACAATCCAAAAGCTGGTCATTTTTAGTTTTGACCCAAAGGATTAGGATTATATAGATTTCTAAATTACAGAAAATGTCCTACTAGCACTACGCCATACAGTGGAATGTTATAAAATTGATAAATGACGAAGACCTACAAATGAAATTTGCTCAGTTCAAATCCCTTCAACTTATTAGTGAAATTTTTGTGAGAGGTATGATACCAATGAAATGAATATCTTAATACATAGTTATAAGGAAGAGCCTACATACCAAAATGGTAGGTCATGCAAATTTGAAGCCTGAAAACATTGATCTGAAAGTTAACAAACATCATAAAAGAATTCCAGCCTTCTAGTCAAAATAAAGGTCATGAACAATCCTTATTCCATGTATAAAGAACTTTTCATGTCAAAAATGTTAAGTACAACTACACTGTATATAGCAAATTTATTTGGCCCCTACTTGACACATCAGAACTCAGGACTTGATGCTCGTCTTGTCCTCTCAGGCTGTGTGAGGTAGGCATCCAGTGGCAGTGTGCTGTGCTCAGTGATGGAGTCTGCAGGAAAGGGTGTATAATAACATAACACATTACATCTTAACAGTTTAGCACCAACCAATGGTAGGTATAAAGCTGGCAATGTCTTGAATGAATGGAGAGATGCTAGGATTCAGACGTTTTTTTATAACAAAACAGGCCAGATCATGAGTCCTTTGTAATCATGGTCACACTATAGTTCCTATTTCAATAGATCCATAATGTAATCAAACTAGGAGTATGTTTTTAATATGAAGCCTCCAAACAGCTACTAAATATACACAAGAGAAGTTGGCAGTACATGTATTGTGTCAAGTACTAGTAGATGCAATGTACATGTATACACAATATACGAATCTTGTCATATACATTGGGGCAACAGTTTTCACTTGTGTGGTACCAACCTAACACCCAGAGCTCAGTAACAACCAAGGCATCTGTCCTCCTCTGTGGATTTCCTACAACGATCCTGGCCCTCCTGATGGAAGTACAGATTCTCCCTCCACACAGTTCCACCAATCGCACGAGGCTGGAGTGTGGAGGGGAGGTGTGTTCTGAGATGTAGATTAGCCCACAGTCAGAGAACAGGTCCTGCTTGTAATGGCCCTCTGCAGCTTGCCTCTCAAGACGAGCCTCCTGCAAGCACAAGCCACTCCTCAAGTCATCTTCTTACCACCATGACAAACATTACAATCAGTCACGATAACTGTCAACCTTCAACAGGCATAGAAACACCAGTACATGCTGGAACAATACCTGAATTTCATCACACAATCCTGAGGGGGTACATTTATCAATTTTCTTTGGATGAGAGTGAGAGTTTCAATAGTATGGTCTAACAAGAAGCATTTTGTTTGATTGTTTTCAGATTTCAGAGGCATCCTCCTAAACCCTTTATGTAGGTGATTTTTTTTCAATCCAGATTATAGCTAGTCTACCATTCATGTTGTACATGTATATATCATTTTTACACCTTTAATACACATATGAAAAAGAATGCCTGCTTACCTGTGCTGCTGGAAAGGCCTCATGGAGTTCATATGGTTCTTCTTCCACATATCGTCCAACTTCACAAGACTTCAAGACCTAGGAGCCAGATTTTGTGCAAAAAAAAAAGTGTTGCCTCTCAGCCAGTTTTTTGGTGCTTTGGTAATACACATGCTGGATGCCTACATGTACAATGTACTTTGTTGAATATTAGACATGTATGATGTATCTGCAACAAACTGTTTGCCTTTGCTTCAATTAGACTTTACTTAACAAAGCACACATTTGGAATTAACATATTTGTAATTCATTAGAGCAGCAATAACATTAGACAACATACTGGCTTGGGTAACAAAGGATGATTCAGGTAGCCTGGGTACCAGTTGTAGGTAATATGTCTTAGTCTCAGAAAGTATTAACTCATGAGATGGTACCTACATTGTAGGCTAGTTTATACTTATAGTAGAATGAAGCCCCTTTCACATCTTCAAGCAAAGTATTATTAAATTCAAACCTTCCCTCAGAGTGGAGGCTTTCTATCTCTAAACATCAAGGCAAAAACTCAAGCATGGCAGAATGTCTGATCTCACCCATTCTAACGACACCAGCCAGCAGCCACGAGAGATGGCGCTCAGGACATTGAGGGTTCGCCTATTATTGCCAGACACAACATGTGTTGTTCTCTCTGTAACATCCCTCTCCAGGTAGAAACCTCCCAGCTGTTTGATCACAGACATCACCAGTTCCTGGTCCCTGCAGAATTCAATAGAATTATAAGACATTTGTGGACCTTCAACAACACTCATGTCACAACATTTAAAACAGTCATCTAAATATGTTTTGCATAACTATACCTGGAATAAATGGGCTTTGTGAAACATTTTCTTGATGAAAGCTATATAGAAATGGTTAAAACGTATTCTAGCATTGTAACAATCAAACCTTAGAAAACTGGGCCCGGGGACACCAGCAAGTATTGCTATTGCTTTTACACAATGTGATATGTTTTGCAGGAAAAAAATTTAATATTTATATCAGTACAAACTCAAGCAGTTCCAGTTAAAGGCATCTTGATACCTTTGAACAACCTTAAATATCATTCCTTGTGGTCTGCTATTCTCAAAACTATTTCATGGCAAACACAGTCTATACGGAGCCTGCTACACGATATACATACTTTGTGTGCATGCTGGTCATCACTAAGGCTTTCCCAGGTTTCTGTTTCTGCCTGCTCCTTCTGTTACACGACAGCCTGGTGGCTCCTGCACTACTACTGCTCGTGGAACTGTCTAGGTCTGAAGAGGTCGGATTGCTTGTTGTCTGGAGAGAAAATTTGGAGGAAGGCAAAACAATGTTTCCTTTATCAATCCTCATGGAATGCATGGTGGTAACCTATGCCACACATTGTATCAATGTACATACAAGGACGTAAATGTCGAATTTGATTTCAAGTTGAGGTTTGTTGAAAATTGTATGTTGTAGAAGTACCTTGGTTTGTCTCTGTACTTGTTTGTTGGTGACTCTCCTGGTTGATTTGGTACCACCACTGCTGTTACTTGACCCAGAGCTGCTACGTACCCTCCTGTTTGAACATTTGCTTGAATCTTTCCCCTCCTTACCACTCCTTCTGCTGAGACTTGTTTTCTGTGGAGGGGCAAAATCCTCAAGACTTCTTCTGGAGGGCCTCAGGGGTTCCACAACAGAGTATTGACTGCTAGTGAGGTCAACAACAACTTCTGCATTGTCCTCCACAGGTATGGCACCAAGGGATTTCCCACGAGGTCTTCTCTTAACTTTCTTCTCAGGTGCCGTGCTTGTATTCTGGGCTCCAGCATTCTCCCGCCCTTTCTGTTCTAAGTTTGTGTCATCACTGTTGCTCCCATAATTGTTTCCCCTGCTATTGGACAGACTGTTCTTCCTCTTGCTACCCTGCCTTAAGCTTGCCAGGGCCCGTGCACCTGCTCTGGCTGCAAGTTCTCCCAAACCATCACTACTGTCTGAATCCGAGTCCCAATGTGGTATTGCAGCTCCCGTCTTCACACCTTTTTTCTCTCCATCCACTACAGTGTCTTTCTCACCCTGTTTCCCTTTTTTTGCGACTTGCTCATCTTCATCACCAGAACTGTGAGCCGTCACCCTCCACTTCCTCTTTGCTGCAGTGTTTTCTTTGTTTGAATCCATTCTTTTGTTGCTATTCAATTGGGCATCATCATCTATGCTACTACCCTGCGATGCTACACTAACCCTGCTGACAGTGTTTGCTGATACTGGGGTCTGGTCACGCTTACCAGACAGCACACCTACTGTCTTCTTCACCCTATTGGTTCCAGCGGTGCCAGCAGGTTCTTGTGGACGTATCAGCTCTACAGCTGGCTCATTGTTTATTGTCGATAGAAGACGTCTCTTTCCTGAGCTACTCCTTGCTGACTGTTTTGGAGGGTTGCTTCTCTCTGGCTCTCCAACCGTTGGTGGTAAACTAGACAGCCTTCTACTTTGCCTTCGTTGCGGCTTGCCCCCCTCAGAAGATGATTCTATCCTGGTCTGACTGTTGCAACCTGACACAGTATCAGTAGGTACCTGTTGATTGTCTTTAGATACAAGCCTTGATTCAGCACTGCTTTTCTTCTCACAGCTACTACTGTTGTCAGACTCTGCTTTAGTTAGGGAATGATGGAAAATGATTATTTAGCATTTTGATTGATACAAAATGCAAATGTAGTTCACATAAGTGCTTTACATTACAATGCGGCAACAAGTAGAGGGAATCAGCTGACTTCTATCCAAATTTTTTCTTTCATTCCATGCTTTAAAAGACCAAGATGCAAGAAACGGAAAGTCACAAAATTACAAAAGTCACAAAATTACATAGGAAAAGTGGTAGCAACTGAATGTTGTGGCATCAACTACAATCAAAAAATAAATGAAGCGTATTACATGTATGTATTTTAAACACTGCATAACATACCAAAGAGCCTCTTTTGAGACATGGTCCCCCCTTCAGAGATGTGGGGAGATGCTTGGTTTTCCTGACGAGCCATCAGCTGATTCATCTTCTCTCGCATGTTCGGAGGCGTGTCAGGAATGGCCAGGGGCAAGCTGGGTAATGTTATCTCCTGGAAAACAGAAGGAAATGTGTTATCATATCAACCTTGTCTTATGTGGCTTGTTCGTCTATGTCTGATGTCATAGTGACCTTAGTTGTCATGTCCATGTGACCCACCTCACTGTTGGGATCCTGTGTGTCCTCCACATAAACGGTTGCATTCTTGCTGGGGGTACTAGATGGGGTGGTGCCAGTTACCGTCTTCCAACGGTTTGCCAGCTCGTGATGGCGGCGCCGCTTCCGTACCCTCTCCGCACTCCCTGCCAACTCCTCTTCAAAGGTCTTTGGCTGCATGGACCTGTACCTCTGTACAGTGTTGGGCAGAGCCAGGAAATAAAGCATGAATACTTGTTGGAGGCAAAAAACATTGCAGAAACCTATAGTCTACTCTATTGCACTTGAAATCCAAGTGAAGAGGTGAAAATACAACAGCTTCCACCATTACATAAAGATACTATTACTACTGGTGCCTTTCGCTTTTTATATTTCAGTCCATACCATGGTATGGATGAAATATATTGTGTTCTCTCATGTTTCTTCTTCTCCTCCTTCTCCTTCTCCTGCCAAACAGTCAAAGGGATTCAACTCCGCCATCATTCAGCCAAATGACTTGAAATTTGGCATGGAGGTAGAGTGAGCCAATACCCCCAGGCGTTTTTTTCATTTTTTTGATACATGCCTTTGAAAAATTTTTATGAAGGTTTTTTGGGGCATTTTTCGCCAAAAAATTGATTTTTGGATCCTGAGCCCTGGTTTTACAACCAAATGATCTGAAATTCGGTATAAGGGTACCTTGAACATGTGTCTACAGAATAGCAGTCACATATTTGGCATACACCACTTCCATGCAAATGACTCATTTGGGGGACTTTAATGGCTATTTTCAGCAAAAAAGGGCCAAAAGTGCTATACCCGTTCCATGTTCTATCTAAAGAATGGCCTGTTCCATCTGTCGTTGGCCATGGAACACGTGTTCCATTGCGGGTTACCTGAGGTCACATTGCACGTAAGTCGTGCGGAATGACCCACACATTCAATTTTATGTGCCTAAGACCTTCAAAATGTATCAAATCTCATCATTGTTAGTATTTGCATACCTGTAATAAGACTAGTAAAGCTTTTGAGATTCAGTGTGCTTGTTCTTGCATCTTTGTTCTCAATTACATAGCTACTATATAATTCATTTATTTGAGAATCTTTGCCAGTTTTACACTGGGGTGAGTTTGGAATATTCCACTTTTGCGTGGGAGGGAGATGGACTGAAATATGCTGTATTTGCTCCCAAGCAAATGTCGGCCTCTCTAGTTATGTTATACATCAATAACATAGCATGTTGTAGTTTGTGTACAGACTTGTACATTCCTACCCTTATCCTTGTCAGCACAGGAGTGCTCCCCTCATCCGGGCGGCTGATGGGATATAGGCCCTCATTCACGTGGACCTGCTTCTCTCTACAGCTGGTGGGTTTAGAAATATAAAATACAACATTTATATTCATGCACTATGCTACATACATGTGTATGCACTGTGAGGCAAACAACAATGAAATTTGCTGCCATGGACCAGCTTCTCTTTCATTGTAAAACAAGATTTGGTAAAGAAGCAAGCCAAAAATGTCTACATATCAGATACATGTGTTTAACATTTACTGGCTTAGGATGTATAAAAACTCCCTACCTTTCCACCCAGAGCACAGATACAAGGTGGAGGCCTTTTTTGATGGCCCTGTCCAATGTACTCTTCTTACCGTCCTTAAAGACCACATGTGTCACCTCACGGCTAAGTTTGGGTTCAACCTGCAGACATAAATGATGCAAAATACTGTACCAGATATATTGTTAGCAAAATGTCATATAAAATATACGCAGACATCAAAACATCAAGACTTAGTCTTGAATTGAAAAAAAAACAACAAACTTGAAAACACAGCAGCAATGAATCAAAACTTACTTGAGCACCAAGCAACTCCAGTTGCTTAGCAACAGCTTTGGAGCGATTCTCCATAGTGTCGTTGCAGCGGACCTCTACATACACAACTACATCTGTGGTGGGATGGAGAACATTTATATAAATGCAGGGAGAAATATGTACAGTCTGGTCGGAAACAAACACCTACACTTTGGCTACTTGGTTATTAAAACTAACACTGTTAACTAAATTAATCTACCTGTCCAGTGAAAACTTATAGCATTACTACATGTGTAATTACTGAAACTTGACGCCTTAATCATTCCCAATATATCAAACTAACTGTAGACATACACTGTAATCAGAGTTACTGTTACCTTTTAGGACCCTGCTATCTACTGGTTGTGTGGCAGGGGGCATGTCATCATCATCATCATCATCATCATCATCATCATCATCACTGTCCAGAACAAGGGCCTGGTTAGCAGGGCTAGGTGTGTCTGTGGGCAGGACTAGGCTGGCCTGGTCCTGGTAACGTGGACTGGACCTGTCTGCGGGCAATATCAGCCTCTCCAGACTGGGCCGACTGGACAAGCTACTCACACCTGGTCTGAGTGTGGGTGTGCCAGGCTGGGGACAAATACAAAGTACACAATGTATGGCCAGTAATCAACACAGAAACTTTCCACCAAAGGAAAACTGACAAAGAGAAAAGAATTAAAAGGCAGTCATTCACTATCATTATAAAAGAGCAGCTGAAGAAATTCTTACCCTGGGTAAATTGGGTGAGTCTAACTCCATTTCCCTGACACTGTGAGAAGTGGTGTTTCCGACAGTTGTCTTGCGACTCTTGCTGAGAAGGTTGGGCGATTCGAGGTCCATGTTTTGTACAGATAGGCTTGTGACATCACCAGGTCGGGGATGGGTTCCTTGACTTCCACTGAGTGGACAGGACTGAAATGATATCTCATAAACATTAGTAATTTTTAGGTACAACACACATTCACGTACACAGTACAAGCATTGTTTTCCTCTTTGTGGAATATGTTCAACACACAACCAATATGGCAGGTTATGATTATTGTGATAAACAGCAGAAGGTATTTGATCTACATGTATATATAAATGTGTATAATTTGTCATCTTCGCATTACAAAAAAACAGTTGGAGAATTGTGACTAACCGGGTCATCCCAACTGTTACTGGCCATGCCCACACTGACCAGGCTCCTCCGGCTTTCTGGAAGAAAAAATAGAGCTACAACTTAGGACAAAATACAGTACTAATGCATGGCTG